TCTCTCTCTCTCTCTCTCTCTCTCTCTCTCTCTCCACAATATTTGTAAATTGCTCATTTCAAATATTTACGCTACTAATGAGTATATGAGTTTCAGGCCAATGATAAACTTCACAAATTCACAATATGTTTTCCACTTCAATCTTACATGCTAGAGATGATGGGAGGGAATAGTGAATTGCATCAAGACACATCACTCCCTGTAATAAGAAAATACACATCTTTCTACACCTTTCTTCAAAATAACCTCCTTGCCAATTCTGTTTGGTTTGATTTTTAAAATTTATTTTTTAAAAGTTTAAGAACTAAAATCTAAATACAAATAAAGAAAAATGATAATAAATCAAAATACTCATCATTTTTATATAGTAATTTTTTTTAGGGCAACAATAATTTTTATTTATTTATTTATTTTGTCTTTATTTTTGATATAATCAATTTTATTTTTTTCAAAAAAAATTTTAAAAACTGATTTTAATGGCCAATTGCCCACAATGGAAACAGATCAATTCTTTGACTCTCAAATATGAACAAAATGAAAAAGATACATTCAAAGCTGCGTTACATTTAAAAGAGAAAGAGAGAGAGAGAGAGAGAGAGAGAGAGAGAGAGAGAGAAATTTGGCAGTAACATTCTATGAACTTGTATTTCTCGTATACAAATGTGTATTAGTAACAAAACCTCGAGCAACTAACGTGTAAAAATCGCAAGGGAACGATATCTCTGTGTTATTCAAACCTGTAATTTTATTTTATTTTATTTTTCATTTTCTATTTCTCCAGTAAGATCCTTTCAAAAAAGCCACCATTTTTCATTCTCTCTCTCTCTTCCATTCTACTGTCTTTTTACTATATATGCTGGAGACTAAACTTCTAACCAAACCACCGATGCTCTGAATGATAAAATCTCTGATAATTGGCAGAAACCTGGGATTCGCTTCTCAGTATTTGCAACACAGACCAGAAAGACATAGAACCACATACCAATTTATCGACGGGCAAAATGTAGTTTTAAGTTGGGGCTCTCTCACTTGGGTTGTCTTTGCTTTAGAATGCCAGATAGAGAAGCACAATGTGTTGACTTATAATCGCATTTCTCGCAGCATGATTGAAGCAATTCAATCACTTTAAGGCACCTACACACACAAATTGAAAATAAAATTAAAAAATTAAAAATAGATAGGATGATAGCAACTCATTAAGTTATGTTTGGTTTTGACTTTTTGGCTAAAAAAAGACAAAATTGGCTACATAAACCAATAAGATAAAATGTTACATCTAAATCTTAATCATTACACTTTTTCTCTCACAGAAGTCAAAAAAGTTTATCACTAATTATAAGTTTTAGCAATATTTTTAAAAAATTGTCACAAAAAAGTTACTAATTTTCAACTTTTAACGACAGTTTGAAAAATTCATCATAGAAAATCGTCACTAATTGTAAGTTTTAGCGATACTTTATAAAAACCGTGACAAAAAAAAAAAAGTAAATTAATTGTCAATTTTTAGCGACACATGTGCAAAAAAATCAGCACAAAAAATTTTAATGGTAATTTTATTAGGGCTTATTTTCAATAGCACTTAATGGTAATTAAGTCCAACTATTAAGACCTATTTTGAATATTGAGGTTGGGATCTCAAACAAAAATGTTATTTCCAGATGTTCAATAGCAAAATTAGTAAAAATTTACTATCTATCAAAGTAAAACTTTACTATTAACATTATTAATTCGATATTGTAACTAATTTCTCATTTAATATTTATAGTAGTAATGGTAACGATCATAGTAAGTATGGTGGTTAGTGATGTTAATGGTAAAAATTTACTATTTATATGCTTAAATTAGACAGTAAAATTTTACTATCTAAATTAATAGAGTCAAATTTTACTGTTCACAATAATAGTGAGTTTTGAATTTTTTGTGTTACTATTTTGTAGTTGTTTGCTAAGTGGTGGTGGTGGTGGCAACAATGTTGGTCGTTAGTTGATGGTGGGGAAAGTTGCTGGAAATGATGGCTAGAGTAGATTGTTGAGGGAGAAGCCGTTAGAGGATGATAAAGAAAATTGTCAAAAAATGGTCATTGAAGATTTTTGCCAAAATATGTCATTGGAAAGTCTGTGACCTTGATGTTGGTTGCTAGAAAATTGGCATCGGCCGATGGTGGTCGTTGAAAAATTATTACCAATCAGCAGTGGTCAGTAGTGGCCGACAATAGTTAGTGGTGGTTGTGGTAATGTAAGGTGGTGGAAATGAAGGTTAGAAATTGAATATGACATTATTTTATTATTTTGGATTTTGTCCTTATTGAATGATAACATTTTATTTTTTCCTTTCTGACAACAAAATTTGCAATTGAGAATTTCTTACCAAAAACCCTATCTTTTTTGGTCAATTCAATTAATAAAAACATCAAAATTTACCCCACCTCAACTGTTTCACCATGTACTGCCTTAGCCTTCTCTTCCTTTCCTCTTTATTTTTTTGGCTCCCTCATCAACCTCAACTGTTTCACCATGTACTGCCTTAGCCTTCTCTTCCTTTCCTCTTTATTTTTTTGGCTCCCTCATCAACCTCAACTGTTTCACCATGTACTGCCTTAGCCTTCTCTTCCTTTCCTCTTTATTTTTTTGGCTCCCTCATCAACCTCAACTGTTTCACCATGTACTGCCTTAGCCTTCTCTTCCTTTCCTCTTTATTTTTTTGGCTCCCTCATCAACCTCAACTGTTTCACCATGTACTGCCTTAGCCTTCTCTTCCTTTCCTCTTTATTTTTTTGGCTCCCTCATCAACCTCAACTGTTTCACTCTGTACTGCCCTGGCTTCCTCTATGACTCCTTCTTTCCCTCAAACCACCACCCACTGCAAAATCACTTTACCACACGTTGCTAATGCCCTCCAAATTCATTAACTTTTAATGCCCAACTAACACCAATTGATTTACCATATATTTTATCTTTGATATTGATTGTCCAAAATCAAACACTTCTTTGATGCCAAACAATATGTGTGTGTGTGTGTGTGTGTGTGTGTGTGTGTTTAATAGATACTAGTTGTGTGAATAATTCTCCACAGCAGTCTAATTTTTTTTTTTCAAGCCAAAACAAAATGACATTTTGTGGAGTTGATTTTCAATGTTCAAAGGATGGCTGGTTTTTAAATGTTGATGAAGTGGAGACTGTGTTTTAGATTTTCAGTGGCCATTTGTGTGGGTGTATTTTACTGTTATGATGGTGAGGTGAGAGTGGGTGAGTGATTTTCTAGTGTGTAGGAGTGTGTATTGCTCGAGTGCTGAAGTTGGGATAGAATTTACTACCGTTGGCAACCATGGGAGGAACATAAAGTAAATATGTATAGATATATAGGTTTAATTTAGAAGAGAAAAAGAAGACAGGTGACGGTATAAAAATCAATTTAAATATTTTATTAACAGGAGTTATATACACATGCCATGAGAACGGGTAGAAACATCTCAATAGACGTTCTTCTACTTATTCTTCTCGTTTTCTTTCCTTTTTAACATTGGCTAGTCTTTGAACAACGACACTATTTGAGCATTGAATTGAAACAATCGTATTATAGAAGACTAAAGCCTACTTGTCAGGGATCTCCTCAAATAACTTGATTTATTTTTTTCTGCCACTTGAATTGAATTACATGTGAATGCATCTCGTGTTAGAAGAGCAACAATTGAATGTACAACAATATGCTAGTCTTTAATCTGTTTCCCTGCTTTGCGGTAGATATTTCTCCCTATACTGATAAAACTGGCTGGCACCTTAAATTGGTACTCTTCTCTGCATTATGGCTGCCTTCTTTTCATTTGTCTTCATTTTTTGTGATGGTCACCTTGCTGACAAGAAAGTGCAGCCTGGCAATAAGAGGTTGAGGTGCCCTTGTTACTAGTCAAATCCCCTTACACAGAGAAATCCTGCAAAATTATTATTCCATTAACATTAGCAAGTAAAGCATGGTTGAATAAAGTTCCTTCACGAGACTGATGAGTAGGTATTAAGGATAGGGGATCATCTCTGAATGAGCTGAACAAGTTGGAATTCGGTTAGTCATAGCCTTCAATTACATTAAGCCACTGTTCTGTGAAGTATATAGTATATTTTAGATCTCCTTAGCATATAGTTTATCATTTTACATTGTAATTTGATTTGTAGAGAATGAACAGCTTGTGTGTAAGGATGATAATTGGCGGAGTTAGTGTGGTGTTTTGTCAACTGAACAGTGCTATTGATAATTGATCATTATTTTGTTGTTAATAATAATTCCAAAATTTGTTGGGGTAATGAGTATATTAAATGAACAATGGACAATTGAGAAGTTTGTTGTTGCATCATCATCATGTTCTCTTAGTTTATTAGTTACCATGGGTAATGGAAAGAAGCATGGGTAATAGACAAGTTCATGGTGATTTTGTGTCCAGATAGACCCTTAAACTATAAGCAGAGCAAGGATGTAACTCACCCACAAAACATTATTAGGTCTCAAGAAGATTTTTTCCCAAAAATGTGTTATGCTGGCATTGGTCTTCCAAGATCAAGAAAGAAATTTGAATAAGAGAAGGGGGATAAGATGAGTATGAAAATCAAATCCATTGAATTTTGGTCTCTCTAAAAAAGTTCATCGAAGCATAGAGCTTTGCTACTATCAGGCTCAGTTTGGTTAGATAGAGAATATAGGAAAGTGAAAGAAAAAGCAAAAAATATATTTTTTTATGTGTTTGTTTAGATAGAGTCCTAACAAGTAATGAAAACTAAAGTTTCTTGTACAATTCAAGTTAGCTTGTTAGTTAGGATTACGATTTCTAGCAAAATATAAAGGGAAATTTACTTTTCCCACAAAACTTGACAATGCTTATTTTATTTCCCTCTTTAAAATGCTTCTCTCCATAACTCCCTATTATACGGTGATTACATTTTTTCCCATAATTTTCTTGCAATGTTGACACATTTAGTGTTTATGGTGAAAAAGATCTATGTACCTTTAAAAATTTATGATACAGAGGCCCGTGCCCATGGAACATCAATAGGATTAAGACTAGATTCATGTTCAACAAACATCTGCATTAGTGGCCAATGTGTGTTATAATACTATCTATGAAAAAAAAAAAAAAAATGACGACAACAACAACAACAATTGGCTTCAACTTTTGCCAAAGTAGGATGGTAAAGCAAGCTAGCATTTTGCAGGTTTCAATGGAAATTCATAGTCCCTTTGTTGGTGGGTGGTGAGGTTATAAAGCTGCTGCAAAGGTTCCCATGGGAAGTGGCAGTTGTACTATGCAAATAGATTACTAATAGAGATGAGAGTAACTAAATGGCGATAATTAGATTACCTCATTAACTTGGAAGTACGTGCCATTGAGTGGAAAGCTTCCTCTCATTGCCGTTCCACATGGTATCTGCACATGAGGCAAGTATCAATAAACAGCTCTTAGTAGCCTTCAATGTTACTTTTAGCAACAATAATTGTGATATGTATCCTAGGTTTGGATTTCCTTACCAAAAGTGTCCCTCTAATTGTTAATGAATTTGCTTCTCGTACACTACTACATGAGAAGCACTTCTGCTCATTGCACATTTTGCCTGATTCTTGAGACCTACACTTGCTTTCTAGTGGTTGAATTGAATTTGCAGTTTCTTCTGTAAGAATGATGCCAAAGTAGATGGAAGAAATAAGCACTTAACAAGACAATAATAGCATTTATACCTAAAAACTTAATGTCAAATAGCCTCAGATCGATTTGATCTGTCACTTGGGTTCTGATAGGTATAATAAATCATGTGCTTAGCTGGTGTCCATATAGCAAGAAGGTATGGACTTGGTTCATCTGGTTCTTGTTTATCCAACTGAATATTTTAGAGGGTCAGTTGGAATAAATTTATGTTGCTGATAGGAGAATGAAATAAAACAAAAGCAGAGACAACTAACCCCTTTTAGGAGAGGGTGTGAATCTGGAAGTTCGTATCTGCAGCGGGATGGAAGGAGTTAGTTGTGCAGCAAAAAGTATCTTAGCAAGTTGTGTTATTTAACATTTATTAATATCTAAATGGTTTGTTTGTCAATACTGACAAAATAAAATCTAACTTGATCCACTGGCTTGGTAAGGTAGCAAACCAAGTTTTTGTTATTCTGGTTGGGGGTTTAATTTGTGGAAGATTTTGCAACTATTGTCTTTTGGAGGGTAACTTCAGGCAAACTGAATTGACTGCTGATTATATATTTTATTGGTCTAATAGGAAAATAAAATTTAACTTGGTCCAGTTCTTCTGTACTCATATATGTATGTCACATGAATATCTAATTCGAAGATTCCTACTTACACTTGATACTCTGTCCGTAGTCGACTCACATTCTTCAGTTTGGGTGTAGGGATGGAAGCAGCTTCTGGATTTAAAGCAACGAAAGCTTTGGACATGTCTCGTACATAGTTCCATATTCTCTTGCATAGATTCTGTGTGAACTGTTCAATGTTGAGCTTGATTGTAGGAATGTCGTCAGGATCCTCATAGAATGTGTCCTCAATGTCACTTTCTATTACTTCAGTGGTTTCTGGTTTCGGTGTTGTGATGACCGGCTTTGTTATACATCTCTTTCCTTTGTTTTCATGGGAATTGTTGAGTCCGGACGTCTTCTCTCTAATTGTCATCCTTGTTCGTTTCAAATTTATTTTCCTTTTCGTTCTAGAGGGTGCGTGGCCGGGTTCGGAGTGTCCGGAAGTGAGCCGGAAAATTTTGGACTACTGGGCCAGGGTCGCACGTGCGGTGCCCTAGGCTGCACGTGTGGAGTGGGGGCGCTCGAGTGGCAGGGGTGGCCGCACAAGCGGTGAAGGTTGATCTGCATGGGTTTGCACACTGTCTAGAGTGCACAAGCAGTTGGAGCCGCCGCAGGAGCGGTGGAGGCCGCCGTACGTGCGGGGAGGGGCACCGCACGTGTGACCAACTTGGCAGTCTGAGCCCTATTTTTTTATAACTTTTTGGTCCAATTGTATAGCACATTTTGCTCATTTTTCTCATTCAAAACCCTATTTTCTCCTCTCTCTCTCTAGAAAACTCCCTCAAACACTTAAAAAACTTTGATTTTGCAAATGTTTGGATCAAGATCTTCATCATCTTCCGCTAAATCTAGAAGATCCAAGGTTAGGGCTTCATTTGGGTGGTGGAAATCAAGCCCCCTCTCATCTTCAAAGTTAGGGTTTCATCTCATCTTCCATCAACAAGTTTGAGGTAAGGATTTTTTGAGTTATATATACAAGTTTTGCCATGTTGATGATGATTTAAGAGTTTTCTTCTAGTTTTAATGATTTTAACTTGTGATTTCAAAAGTGTAGAGATTTTCTTAAAAAGGGGGTTTTCTTTAAACTTTCAAAGTCTTGGTCGATCTTTGAGGGTTCCATTTTGTTAATGTAAGAATGATGTCTTGATGAGGGTTTTCACCAAGACATGAGAAGTGTGGATTTTGGTTTAAAAGTGTTCTTGTGGTTTTGTATTTAAATTTTGGTTTAAAATGTAGAGATTTGTGAATATGGGCTTGTATCTCAATCTATTTTCTACTCTTGAGAGTTTTTCCTCTATTAGACTCATGAGAGATGATTTTGATGGAGTTTTTCTTGAAAAATGATGAAGATTTGTTTTTAATAAAAAAAACCCCTAGAAATGTGGGGATTTTGGTGAAATAGAAGATGTCTTTGAAATTCCTTATTTTCTTATGTTAAGAGGATGAATGAGGAAATGTAAATTTTAAATTGTGTTTTTATTAAATAGCAAATCCTTGACATATGAGCCATGAGAATTATTTTAGCATTGTTACTACATAATTGAGTATGTATAGTTGATGAATGGTAAATCACTGTGCATCATGGATTGTGAAAATTATAACCTTGAGAGATTTATGTTTGAAAACATCACATATGACCTTGAAGAGGTTAAATTAATTAGAATTATGCATGATGGGAAATGGTTGTGGTGTGTTGAAGACACATGGTTATTTTGCAAAATAATGTTGAGGTTAAGAAATGAGTAAGGTAGTTGCTTGTTGTTATTGTTAAGACAATTGAAATTGGAAAAGTGTTATGAGTTATGGAAAGATCATGGCATTGAATATTCATTCAATTTATTATTATGCATTATAAAATTTGATTGAAGATATTTATTTCATGAAAGAAAATGATGTTGTGATAAGAACCAAGGAAATGCGATATGGGGTAAATACGTGGTAAGTCCGGATAGGGAGTGTAGTTGAACTTGATAAGTTGGCTTGAGTGCCCTTGGTGAAAGACCAGAAAACCGCGCAAATAGGTGTCGAGCCTTCTAGTTAATACCGGTAAAAATGAAAGTTTGGTAGTACTCATAGAGTCTACTTGCAGACACCAGCCTAGGGATTACCAGTGTCGTATTTACCACCCTTTGTTGATTAAAAGAGTTGGAAATATTGAAATTAATGAGATTGCATAACGTTGTAGACGTCCCCGAACGCCCCAGGAGGACGAGTCCCCCCGTTCTGTTCGTTTTGCGTTCACTACAGTTCAGGACTCTCAAATTGTCACGGTTCTTAATCTGAACCAAAGAGTCCAAATCCGGCAAATCGTTTTGAGAAACAGATTTTGTAAAGAAGTGCCAAACATGGACTGCTTTGCCAGATACAGAGTCGCCACCTAAATATTTTTTTTTATGGGGGAATTTAGGAAACCCTGACTCGGTGCCAAAGGCCACGTGTCTGTCATCACCAAAGTTGCCTCCGCTCGGGAGCTTGGGTACGATTGGGGAAGGTCAGCTATGAGCACCCCCTCTCGCCCGATCCGAAGATCGGCCTCTACTAACCGTGATATCCGATTTTGAAAACGTTATATGTTCTTATTCTGGTTATTAGCCTAGAATTACTATGTTATGCGTGCAGCAAACAAGTATAGACTAGATTGCC